CTGACCGGATTCCGTTACGCCAAACATTTTCGTCAGGGAGATTGGTCTTTTTTGACACTCAAACTGGGTTTCCGTATTTACTTGAAACGACCGAATACAGACGAGCTGTCAATATAACGAGTTTAGATCCGCCCTTCCCTTCCGCCATAGATGTCACTGCCAGCTCGGATACTGACTTCAGTTTTATCCCCAATCTGTGGAGAAAGTTAAAAAAAAGTTGCTCATAGAAATGTGACAATCTCAATTAAACCGACGATGTCTGATTCTGTTGATGATAATTAGTATCAACACTGAGCGATCAGAGATTAGCCTACCACAGATTTTTCACCTTTCACCCTGTGCTGGGATGAGAGCTGTTACATTCTATGCAACCTTCTACGTAAGCTGGTTGTATAATTTTCTTGTGTTTTGGTATGAAGCGGATAGTAACCGTAGCCTGCAGCGGTATTCAAGACAAACTGCGTCAAACAGGTGAAGATTGATGTTCTTCTTATGCTCGCAATAATTGGATAATATATCTGTAGTAATCTACCTACTTGATTATTCGATTTGGGGTGTAACTGTGATAGAGTTGTGGGATTTTTCTTTGTTGATAGATAAATAGTCCTTTTGATAAATGCGATATGCTAAAGCTCTCGTTAAATCAAATCAATTATGTAATTTTCATGAGCTCTCCATTCTTGTAACTTTTCATGTGAACATCTTTGAGTAAAATCCATTTCCGAAAAATCTTGCATAATCTGTCAGTGTGTCGTTTTTGGCCCCAAATAAATGTAATTCATTGAAAGAATATCTGGCGTGTCTTAAACTCTTTGGCGACAGATTTCAAATTTGGTGGCAAATCTCCTGAGGAAGCCAACCGAAAATGTACTGTGTAGAAGACATCTTTTTATTGGAAGCATTCCTGAGGGCCATAAAAACGATGGATTATAAATATTACGCAAAGTATTACATTGTTGATTTAACAGTAAAAACATGGTAGTTTACAAATCAGAAATGCTGCATAGAATTCTTCAGAATTATACTTGTAGGTTGGTATCTAGCAGATCCAGAAGTGGCTTGTAGGAAGGATATAACAGGATGTGCTTCTACTTTACAATGTCTTTCAGACATATGGTGTCCAGAAAAGCTTTTCACAAACTCAGTATGGATATTTGTCTGTAATTATCTTATGGATTAGAGTACTAAGTGACCTAGCACACCACTCATAAAGTTGCTGAAAATTCAAAGAGAGCACACGACCGGTTTCACTTTTCTTTGGGCTCATCAAGTAGACGCAGTTCCTGAGTTTCCGTCAACCTTATGTTCTACTTGAACACAGACTGGACTGTTTTTGAGCGATAAACTCATTTGCAAATCAACTTGGCTTTGAGAAAGACTCACCTGAAACCCAGTTGAATCTCTCGTTTATGATGTTTTTAACCAACTGAATGTGCTGCACCAGGTTGCCTCATGTTTCCCTTTGTACGATATTCAAGATATCGTGATACATGTATACACATAATACGCTATCATAAGGTTGCTGAAAATTCTTCGCCAGCCCACAACCGGTTTAGCTCTTCTTGGGGCTCATCATCTAAGCGCAGTCCCTGGGAGACTGAGCCGAGTTCCAGGTGAGTCCCTCGCGAAACTTATTTTTTGCAAATGCGTGTATTTCACTAATAAAATGTGACTTCTTTAGGTTTTTACTTCTATTCGTCCGCAGCGGTTTCTGTCCTTTCAGGAGGACTAAGCTAATCCAAGGGTTCCAGGAATCTTACGTTGTCTCAGCTCTTTATCTGCCCTACCTGTCACCTCCCTTGGGAAAACTGGAAAGGACAGCTCACCAACGGCTGGGCATTAAGCTTCTAACAACCAGCATGAATTCATCTGTTTATCTCGCGGTGCAGCTGAGCGTTTTGAAGAGTATTAATAGGGATGTACTTCAATGTAGTACACACGCACGCGTACAAACAAAAGGACATGTTCCGAAATCCAACGACTTCCAGAGGTAGTATTACAGCTGTTTGTCGCTCTGGAACGGCTGGGAATAATTTGCCCATTTTGGAAGCATATCAACCGCAGATAATTCTAAGAGACAGGAGCAAAACGAGTTACCATCCCGGCCAATTCATTCATCTGTTTACTCTTAGGTAGTTTACTTGTTCAATGACATGACAACTGCGAAACGACCAGGTTACACCCGGTACCTCAGATATTCTAAAACATGGCTGGTAAAGATTTTCGAGGGTTGGATACACTTGTGACAATATGTTTACAGTACAGCGTTTGACAGATTCCAAACTGGTCAATGTTTTTCACGAACTGACAATGTCCAGAAAGGCGAGTGAAAAGTGTGTACGTCTCAGGTGGACATCACAGTAATGTATTTGACAGTGTATGGAACTTGGAATCGTTATTGAACAGTCGCAGTATGTGATGGGGTAAAATATAAGCTCTTTTACAAAATAGTGCCCAGCTGTGCCAGTTCTTTGGATCTAACTGGCAGGTTTGATCTAAACAAGAGTTCTTGGACTGCTTGTTTTTGACACAATAAAGTCAATTCGGCGAAGGTAAAAAGCATTGTTGCTCAAATAATCAACACGGCCAGTGGAAGGACCAACAAACTCAGGAAGGGTTGCTGGCTAGCCGGACTTGCGGATTCTGGAATACAGGTAATATAAGAACCGGTGTTATACAAAATCAGATACAATATAATCTTACAAGGGAACGAGCAAAAGACCAAACATCATGTTTTATTATGCTTGACAAAAGAAGTTCGTGGCAGGGTTAGATGGATCAATCTAATCCAATCTCATCTTGCTTTCATATTTTCAGGATATAAAAACTCACCTGATCCAAATCAGACAACCTAAACATGACACGTTTCCAAGAGGCAACTAGAAATGGCCTAACAGACATAGTCAGATTGAAGTGATATCATCAAATGTACTTTGCAGAGGTGAATCATCAGGGGGGGCTAAGTGCAGCAAGGTATCAATACGACGTGACGTACAATGTGGCGTATGACCAAGTAAAGCGATCCCTCCTTTGACATATATACTCGTTTGCGTATCAATTTGGTTTTCACGAAAGACTCGACGGAATCCAGCGCTTATGATATTCTTCAACTGAATGTGCTGCACAAAGGCTGCCCTATCCTTGATGCAGCACTTTGGTACGAGGATGTCACCAATAGTCAGTAATACATAAAAGTAATAGAACTTTGTGCCCATATTCGAAAATTCAAGCTGCTAGGTTATGCAAGATTTCGATGGCAGGTGACTAAAATGTACGCAAGTTGGGAGGTGAGCACAACCAACAAGTCAAATAATTCGAATTAAAAGATATTCTTACGGGTATCATGGTGCTTCGTTGTTTGTGCGGAAAAAAGTGTAAAGTTTTTCAAAAGATAAAAAATTTTATCAGTAGATAACTTGTTCAGTTGAAAAAAATATCTGACCTTGGATAATAGTCGTACTCACCGACATCTTGTTCATCGGCATCGTGTTGCATGCCGGAATCAGGATGTTCTGTTTTCTCAGATTTGGATGTTACTTTGTATTGCATATCGGTGACCTTGGTTTCCTGGGTATCTTGTCCAGAAACTGCAATATATATATATATATAATTGGAAAATATGAAAAAGATCATATAGATCGATGAAGAGAAAATGCCTCGTGTCTGGCCAAGTCGCCAGCTGGGTTTGATCACGCTGATTTGCGAGGAGATGAACAAAACGCATAAAAGAAACTTGCCGCTCGATGATGTATAAGGCCTAGGTCACATGGCTTAGTACGTTTTCTAATGACCGGTTATACTATCATAGTTGTCTGGAAACGTTCCATAGATCCATTGAGGACAACACTGTGTGTGATCGCCTGAAGCGCAAAAAGGTCGCGAGTTTGCGAGTTGCAAATCTTTACACACACTTCTTTTTGTCTCGTACGGCTGTCACCGGAAGACATCACTGCCGAAAGATGCATCAGTAATGGCTGTCTACAAAGACACACAACGACGGTCAATATGTGCACGAATAGATCGCTGTGCCGATATTCATCGCTTCATAGTCACAAGATATTCAAACGGTATTACAAAAGGTTTGTGTGAATCCGGACGTAAGAGTAACATCGGCAGAGTACATCCAACGAAACTAACTGTGGAGGCCGAACTAACCTTATTTCCACAATCTGTCTGGTGCAGGAACAACGCCACACGCACCGAGGACCCTCAATCATGGTGTTTTTTGATCGTGCATTGCTCCAGACTACATGTGCTTAAAAGGGTATGCCCCGAAGGCGTGTGAATCTATTCGTATCCCTATATTCGAAGGGTGTTAAGCTCGCGGTGTGCCCGGAGCTCTCAAAAGCCTCCCTACAAATAGGCATTTGGGTAACGACATCCTTATCCTCCATTCTTCTTTAGCTTCGTCATTCAGGCAAATGATATAAGTTCAAATAGTTACTGATAAGAACTTTTTCGTTCTTTGGTATGCAAACGACGTTGTCCTCATACCTACAGACGAAAGCCAAACAAAGACACAGTCGAATGAACTAACCACCGTCATACTGTTTTTGGTTTGCTCCTTATACCTACAAAGTGCGAATGCCTGTTGTCTCTGCGAATGCTCCTTGCGTTCCGAAGAATGCGCTGAATGTTGTGGAAAATTGAAAAAACCTTGGTAAATGTGTTGGTTGTACCTGCAGTGCGTTTGGTGAAACCAGTGCACAAATCTCAAAAGCCCAAATCATGTTTACCGACGCTCATCAACTAGTTAGCTATTGGTAACACGAATTTCGACACGATTTGTCCCAAATCCCTCGGGAAATGAAAGGGGAATAACATCCTCGGCGCAGAATTCCCTCCATCTTTTTAATCTACCAGTTCAGTTTCGGATAAAGTTTTCATTCCATTACAGGAGCGAGTCGAATGTCCTCCAAGATGGCGAACCAATGAACGATAAATCAAATAATGTGGGATGGTATGGTATGTAAATATTATTCAAAATCATGAATTTAACACAGCTTTTGATTGGCTGCAAAATTGTACAACCAATTGTGTATTGATGCATGTTGTGGGGTTTGCGGGATGTGTATTGTTCATATTCACATCGCTCAAGCTTGAACACGTTCACCTTTTCAGATGTGAGAATTTCGATGAGTGCAATCTGCTCTGGTGGACTAGTGGTAACACGCTCGCCTCGCATGTCAGGTGCCCGGAGTTCAAACCCTGGCACGGCCATTGGATATGCACTGCTGATTCGCTCTAACAAAAGCGAAACTCGAGTCCAGTGCTACCCCCCCTTGGTGTGGATTCACCAGAATAATGCGCCGGTAGAGGAGGACGACTGTTCAGACGGGAGTGATGTGAATGTGAACAATTGTGTATTGAGAAGTAACGGATAACTGAAATACAGTCCGAGGATTGGAACGCTAAACTGATGGGACCATTGTGTTGCATGGCAGTTTGAACGAACAGTCTACCGGATTAAGCATTTTCACGTCGTCTGTGGTCGGAGCTGAATACCCTTTGGCTTATTTCCAGTTATCGATTCAGAGTACATAGGCTGTTTACAGAGTTAGTGAAGAATGAATTTTGTTTGGAGACCATGGTTTTCACTTGACTGGTTTTTTCTCTGCCCTTAGGAACAACCAGTTAAGAAGTATAGTGTCTTGCTTACTGGTAATACACTATGATGCGTCCAAAATTATTGACTTTTGAACTGACAATTTGGCGGGCTTTTTGAAAATGAGTCACACAAAACATTAATTTGCCTGCTGACATTTCACCCATCACTTATCCATGCCATTACACCTGAAGAATGTGCAATGCTTTCAGAGGAGGTTGGTAAACAACCATTAGTTTTTAACTGGGCAACGTTTAGCTTTCCACAAAAATACTTCATCAGGCCAAATGAGGGTTCAGCAAATTGACCGGGTTTTAAGGCAAACGATGAACCAATCAGTAAGACGTCTTTAGATAAGCGCACTAGATCAGTGTTGAATTTCAATTGACCGTTCTCATTGGTCGTGTTTTCTTAAATCTTGCGCTGATGGGTTACGTGAGTTTCAAATTGACTCCGATCGGGCGTGGTTCTTTAATCTTCCACCTCAAGGTGCTTGAATGTTTTTCACTAATCATATCCGTGAGTTTTTCACCACAATGACTGTTCGTAGACCAGAGAAAGACGAAAAAACAGAAAAAAAACAGACGGTGTTGTTCCGCTACGAATTATTGAGAGTGAGGAAAGTGGCCAAACACAACTTGATCAACTCACATCCGTAGCTCAGATCATGGAAAATGGGACCTTCGTCCTGACGGCAGCTTTCATTTTCATCCAGCTGTGGTCTTGTTGGTATCTCGTTGATCTCAACCGAACCGTGTAAAATTTCGGTAGCGTCTAGCGTGGGAAACATGGAAAGCGTGATATACAGTCCGTAATCTCTCTAGCATGCGATTCACTGCACGAAGCATTGATTGCGAGCCACATACTCTGGTTGATTTTTGTTGTTTAACTTTTGTTAAGATCGCTATCTCCAATATTTTTTCAAATATTAGGAAACTCATTCTACTGCATGACACGCGTAAGCAGGAATAGGTCTGATGTTTGTGGGTTATTGACAACTTCCATTCAGCGGCCCTCGATTAGGTCTCCCGGTGTTTTGTGCAGCCCGGTGCCTACTTAGTAAGTTGTAAGTCGAGCTACCAGATCTGCATAGTTATGGAACGTAGTTTTGGCAACGTTGCAGGCTGTCAGAACGCCCGAAACCTACTGAGACCCTTAAGCTCTACCAGAAGCTCAGTAGGGAACCCAGCAAGTACCCATTCTGGTCATTCAATCAATCAATCAATTCAACAACAGCCCGGAGAGGTGGAAATTGTCACCCAAATTGCACGAGGTCCCTTGGAACGGTTGCATTCGCTTATTGGCAATAAAGCCGTTGTGTTCTTGTTGGTGAGTCTTTTTCTGATCCCAAGTCTCTGGAGCTGGAGATAGCAATTATATACAACACAAAGAGGACGGATTATTACGCTTGGCGTTATCATTGTCACAGTTAACCAATTCGCTGCGCGAAAGGATACCACATGCCAAACTTAGCACATCACGTGTCTTGTTCTGTGATAAAAATGCAAAACATTTGCAGGTTGAATTAGAAAAGACATTGGCTAAGTGTTCAGTGAAGATAGCCCCGATCAATCCGAACTTTCAAAGCAATGTCACCCGGATGACCCAACAGGTCATTCAGAGTTGTTGGTGGGATTTTACTCCATGATTTAAACTCGTGCGTGATACTGTAAGGCATCAGGTTTCTTTCACCAAATTAGGTAATCCTATTTTGTGTAACTCAGTGTGGACGAGAGAAGATGATTTCAGTAAAGTTTCACGCCATACAATACAGCAGATCAGCTGGTTTAGGCGGTTTAGGGGTTGCAGTTTGAAAGAAGGGAGTGCTAGTGCTCTAACCAATGAGATGTCCCGCCCGCCCTCAGAATCGAAGGAGAGCTTAACCTCCATTAGTTTGGGGCAGACAAGTTATCCGATCTAGTATGGCTGCGTTTGTTGTTTCAGTCATGTAAAATACTGCAGCTATTGTATACAATTTGTTCACTTTGCTTAGATCAGATAACAAAACCATAGTCGTTACGAAACACTGGCCATCAAACACAGCCTATCCTAGTTCAAGTGTAAACATTCATTTTTTCGTCCTAGAGTTGAATCAAATCAACTGATACATTTTTCGTACTTAGGTGGTGGATTCAAAAATGCTGAAGCGACTGTTTTTTCCAACCTTCCAGAAACGAAGTCTACTTATTTCCGAATACGTTTTTCGACCAAGTTGAGTTGAGTCGGATCGAGCCAAGGTGTCAATCCATATTGGTTTGGTTTAAGTAGGTTTCTTCTTAGTGGATAACAAGTTTTAATGAAAATCGAAGGAAAAATGTGCACAAAACTATCCAGCTTGTTCTCATCATTCTGGATATTGTGAAGAAATTTTGTACTTCCTGATGGAGTTTTGGTCTTCTCAGCATAGCCAACTTAGATCGAAAAGCACTGAGGTACTCTGCATTTGTTTCTAGATTGGGAATCATCAGCAGAGATGTGTCACAAAAATCCGGAGAGTCTCGAATCTGCGACGTTTGAGAACCCAACTGTTCGTCGTCAAGCGGCTAATCAGCATGGTGATTAGCTCTCAATTAGACAGATTTTGGAACCGCTCATCCTTCACTTGCGAAAATCGCACCACGCCGTATTGATTGATTCTGGTTTTATCTGTTCCTGCGTCGCTGAGATCAGTGAAATTAGTTGTGTGGCTGTCGATTTTGTTCGGTTCATTGTCATGGAATCATTAGACTGCAGACATCATTGCAAGATCATAGCCGAGTGCATAGATGTGATTGAGCTGAGTGCATTGGCGTGAAATTGTGAAAAGTAGACGCAGTATTTGTATGTGAATGAGATGAGTGAAGAGAGAAACATTGCAACACATGAAAGGTCGTAAGAGCCCGTAGACAAGAGGATAGGCATCAAAACGAGTGCTGATACTGCCAGTCCATTTTGTATCCAACACTGGAAAGGCATACAGATATCCTTATTTTACTAGAATGGGTCTCGAAGACCAGGTTCAACTCTGCGTCTTGCGGCACTACCTCATTTGAAACGAGAGAAATTGATTCCCACTACGAACTGCAGTATTCGGGTCAATAATTGGCGTAGCAGTATATGCTTACATGCCCGTGATGAAACATATCTTTACTCACCTTTACCAGCTTCATCTTGACCACTAGCATCAACAACTGGGTCTGGAGACCCACCATCTTCCTGTTGAATGTGGCTTGAATCCCGCCCGCTGTCTGGGATATCATAGCCACTT